CCGGGTTACTACTGGGGCCGAGTTGGCATGGATCCGAGTTGGTCGTGGGTCCGAGTTGGCATGGGCCGAGTTGGTATGGATCCGAGTTGGTTTGGGTCCGAGTTGACTCGAAACCATGTATTACTAGTGGTAAGCCGTAGGCTGTATTTTTGTTCAGCTGTTTTGTGGCTACCGATTCGGTTTGTCACTGACGCGCGCTAGCTCTACGGTCAGACGGTGCCCACGGCTACATGGACACCGATCAGCTATCGACATCGACCACTGCACTAGACTAGGCACATGACAAACCAGTTTCCTTGTTTCATGCTTGATCCAGCTGGACTTGTTGCGGACGGTTGTTTGGGTTCTGAATCTTTGTCGTCATGCATGTCATGTGCGTAATCTGTTAAGAAAAAGTTCATCAAGATGGCAGATAGAGTTCAAGACTTTGGGCCTATGACACCAGCATGTGCCCGAGCGCTGAGTGATAAACTCTATGAAAAAAGAAAAGGGGCAGCTCTAGAAATCGAAAGGTAGGCCTAGGCCTAATGGCAAAACAGTCGTCCATAGGGGTCATCCATTTTTGGCACCATTTTCACAAATAGTACTCTTTTTCCTCGCCCCGCCCCTTAAAGAGTTTCAAATGAATGAACAAAACACGCTGATTTCTCTGTGGTGCCTGAGGACCCATTCTAACTCGATCAAAATGTACATAGGCCTATGGCCAACGGCTGTTAATCTGCAGTGGACATGGGTGGACGACCAGAGAATAGTGGCAAGAGGAAAAACAAGTGTCCACGACATCAGAGCAAGTCACCTGGTATAAGTAGTAATGCTCAGAATTCAACCTACTACTGGCAAGAAACACATGAATACTGTCATGATATATCTTTGTCCAATAACTAAGCTAATACTAGGGCCAGCGTGGAGCACCCTCCCAGAGGACATGTTTGGTTATTTACTAATGACAATAAATGCACAAAAGGTTTACCCAGACCCAAGCCTGTCCTAGAGGAAGACAGAAATGCCCTCTTACCTAACGTCATATGCAGGCCCTCTATTTCCCATTCTGTCACCATGTTAATTTTAGTACCCCCACAAGAGTAGGTGAACAAAGCTAAAGGGGAATAGATTGTCTACAACAGTAAAATCGTGAGCATCTATTCGCCAAACATTACACAACGTTGTTGTCATGAATTTGTTCCCCTCTTTTAAATCTTTTGAGCATGGCCATGGGCACATGAAGCGTGAAAAAGGCTTAGGCTACAGGCATTGCATGCATGCGTGAGTGTGGGCCAGTTTCTTTACACTTCACAAGTTGAATCATCCATCACGCTCGTTCTGGAACCATGTGAAACAGTCTGCACATCTGCATGCTGCAACAGGAGTTGAAACTACGACCAGAGCGCGCATGTAGCGGCGCGAATCATAAACTATCGCCAATCTATTATAAGCTTCATTTTTAACATGTTTCTAAAGTGTACGCAACCAATTAACCCCCTTCCCCCAGTGTACGTTTTGCACGCTCGTGAAAATGACAAATGGATGACCCCTTACAAGCCAAACGGAGAACTGCGACTTGCAGTTCTGTAAGTAATGGCAGTCAAATGACGTGTAATCATTTGCACATATTGAGCTCATGTGATGTACAAACATGGCAAGATGCTTCATGATTGGTAGTGTGTATGCTTGGACGTTATTGGACAATCTGCATTATCAGGTGATTGTGCTGCATTATCGGCCAAGTCCTAGTGAAAAAAACAGACTTTACGTCCCCCTTTTTAAAACTGTCTTCCACACTTTCAGAAAGGAAAGGTGATTGGCTGATGGCACACTGATCGGCAGATTATGCTGCTTGATTGGCCAATGCAGCATGCATATTGCGGGTGCATGGGATGTAGTTACATATGTTACGTCAGCTGATGGAAGCATGGAAGACTTCATTAGTTGCTCCCTCAGGCTGGACTAATAAAAACCATTTAATTCAACTTAAAAAAAAAAAAAACGTTCATGAAAACATGTACTGGAGAAAAGTGTGGAAGTTCCTTGATGTCCTGGCCCACCGGGAACACAGAAAATCGTAAACAATATTTTTCTTCAAAATTCATGTACGTTTTGATATATCAGAATATAATACATTGAAGCTTAAAAGTGGTAAGAGTGCTCTTTATATCGGATTAACCAGCTGGTTTTCAAAGAATATCAGTTGTGGAAGTAGCATATTTTCTTCAGTTGACCAGAAATGTATTTTCAGAAGAATAAAAAAAGTACTGGCCTTATTGCAGTGAGTATGATTCCCTTTCAGATTGGTGCGAGATTTGATGCAGACTAACAGCACGGACCAGATTGACAAGCTCCTGCAAATTCTGGGCTCGGAGTTCACACTGTCGGCGAATGGGCACGCTCGGAAGGGTGGATTAATAGGGCTCGCTGCTCTAGCCATTGGCATGGGAAAGGTGAGGATCCTGGGTTATGCGTCGTGCTTGAAGGACAGACTGTTTCGACTGGAGAGGCTAAAGTCAGGACCAGGGCACCCGATGTGCCCCCAATAGCACCTCCATCATTTTCATGCAGTGCTTAAGCAGTTCAGGCAGTTGATAGCATGCTGACTTTGGTTTCAAAAGATTGCCCTAAAATAATGTGACACAATGGAAATATCCATGTACCGGCAAATGTGAGCGTTCCCAGGTTGTTAAATATGCATGAGATTAGTCCAATTTTTGCTACGGTTGGTGCAACATTTTCGAACATTTACTGACCATCTACATTTTTCAAACACCAGTAACGTGACATTGAAATGAAATACATAAAAAACTGAAGATGTTTTAGCCCTTTTTATGTCTAGTTACGCCCTCTAGTGTTGTGAGAAAACTAGGGATATTCCTTTGTTGACCTCGGGGATGTTTGCTCCATGTCATCATGCCAGGAGTCGACTGCTTACCTGCCCCAGTTGATCCAACCTGTTATCGCCTGCTTCAGCGACCCCGACAACAGGACGAGGTACTTCGCCTGCGAGGCTTTGTACAACATTGTGAAGATTGCGCGCAGCGCCGTGCTGTTGCACTTCAATACGGTGTTCACCGTACTTAGCCAGGTACACCGACTGGATTGTTTGCTTGCCTCCTTGCTTGTTAAACATCTCCTGAAGAAATCAGTCATCCTTCCCATTTGAGCTCCTTTAGTCTGGACAGCCTCCCAAACCCATCAAGATCTCATGCTGGCTTGGGCCGTATTTTGTTGCAGTATTAAGATCAGTGTTGCAGTCAAGACCATCACATGACCGGACACAAGACCAGACACAAGACCACGCACAAGACCAGACACATGACCAGCCACAAGACCAGCCACAAGACCAGACACAAGACCATGCACAAGACCAGTCACAAGTAACAAGGTGAACAACGACAAGAAATGCTTTTGTTGGGGTTCATTTGGATAGCTTCAGACTTGAACTAAGACTGGAGGTCTTGTGTTGGTCTTGTCATAGTCTCGACTATAACACTGATTCAGATTGTGCTGTTGGTTTGTGGTGCAGTGTTGAATTCTAAAAGCTTCCTGGCAAAAGATGCCCAAGAAGTTTTGGTCAAACATCTTCCGTGCTTTGGTTTATCCATCTAACTTTGTTCACTGACTCAAAAACATATCTTAGTGAACTTAGCAAGCTGTCAGTGACCTTCATAAACAAAAGCTGATCCTTGTATCTTAATGAAATACATGTATACGCTTGTTCAAATGTTGTGAAGTCTTGTTTTTATTGTATATTTAAACTGGGCTGTACCCCGTACTGAACTCTGCATCACCGTGACTGAATGGCACTGTAAATGTTGGTTTCTGTTTTCTCCTTGTTCCAAACTAGTTAGCAGCTGATCCGGACATCAACGTTAAGAATGGATCAGAGCTCCTGGATAGACTTATGAAGGTAAGCTGGAAGATCATGGCTGAGTATGTGATGTGAATCTTTCAACAGATATGTTTGAGTAGCTTACCCAGGTAAACCTGAGTTTGCTTTGCGTTGTTCGAGTAGCACTGTCGTCCTAGTGGATATTAAGTTAGGGCAGTAATGACAGACCTTGCTCTCAGATTTGGCCTGTGGCTGAAGGTTGCTGCTGTGGCTGATCATAGCAGAAGTGTCTATGTGAATTGGCTGCAGCCGGTAGCCAGTTGCTACCATAGTACAAGAGTTTATAAAGGGTGGGACGTTTACACATTTCAACGAAAACGGTTCCAAATCCGTTTGCAGATTTTCTCAAATGTTTGAACAATTCATTTTTAATGTAAACGATGCCTGTTACGTACTGTTTTTTTCCATTTCAGCATCCATGTATATGCACTTTCTGAGGAAAAAAAATGGATTCTAAAACAATAAACATTGCTTGTTTTAAATGCCCTAACATCAATCTACATTTTTACATAGGTTGGACCATGTGCATTGTTGAACTGTATATTTATGCATATGAAAACACTGAGGTAGGCGGCAGTGGCCTCTGCAAAGTGTTGGCTTAACGTTTAAACATTTAAACCGTATGGGAAAGTTTCTAAACATTTTTCAAATTAAACGTAAATGCCCACTCTTAGAGTCTTTGTGAACTGGCTGCAGCCGGTAGCCAGTTGCTACCGTTGGTGCATGTGTTATTCCCTTATTGCTTGCCGTAGCCCTAAACTTTGAGATGCATTCTGGGGCTTTAGGAACTTGTTGGGTTATTCACATCCTAAACAGATGAAGTTGTAGTTGTCTCATTAAGCTCAGTATATGCCAAGCAGGGATTTGACAATGTCAAATAGCAAAGTGGGCCAGTGAGCTACTTTTTCAGGTTAATAACTCAAATTATAAATTGTCAATTGTCTCGCATGGAGTTACAACAGAGTGCACTGGCATTAGTGTCGTTAGCTCTGACGGCCTTTCTTTGCATCTTTTCCCTTTTTGTTTGAGCAGTTTTCTTGCAAATTTTATGCTGAATGTCAAAGGCACAGTTTTAAAGGGAACGGGGTTGTAGCAAGAAACGTATCTGCAAAGATTCTTTCAAGTTTGTCTCCCTTCTAGCAATGCCAATTTTTTGGGTCAAAAATTCTTGTTTCTGGGGGTGATCTTGTTGTGCCATTGGCAGAGATTTTATGTGCAGTGTTGTATTCGAATCCATCACAAGTCCTTTCACA